AATACAAATTAACAATACACAAATAAATAAACTTTAAAATACGAAGCACCTATCGGTCCGAGTGTTAAGATGTTGAACTACTATATAATACATACTCATTTAAATTGAATTAATTTTCAGATATAATAATTGCGTGCCGATAAGATTATCGGACATTCACACAATCAATCTGAAACAAATAATCCCCCCAAAAATGTCTCAAATCTTAAAAAACTGTAATAAACTTATTGCGAAAAATATTGCTTCGGCCGGGAGTCGAACCCGGATCTCTTGCATTCCGTGCAAGCGTCCTAAGCCTTTAGACTACCGAGACCTTAGCAACATTCTTCGCAATAACCGATATGTATAGAGAGTTACGCATGTATAGACGCGCGTGTATAAACAATATGATTGGAAACGAGACCATTTATATTAAAACTTTAAAGTATGAAGCGCTTACCTATTGTAAATAAGTAAACATTTTTATATTTCAGAAAATTGCTCCGTCAAAGATCGTGGAATCAACAGTTCCACAATTAGACGATGATATAGAAGAAATTATTGAAGAGGACAATCCAGAAAACAGAGAGCCAGTAACGGACATAGCAGTACTGAATAGACAATTAGCAGAAGCGCGAAGACAAGCCGCCGAGTATCGTAAGCAATTACAAGAAAAAGAGAAGGAAGCGGAAATATATAAACAGCAACTCAAGAACATCACAGCGCAAATAGCATCTAAGTAGTTTTGTACAAATATAGATTTCATATTCGGTTTCACAATTTGCAAATCGGATTTCTCTTTTTATATCAAAAAACTTTATAGCTTTGTTTTTTTACATCATGTATTTTTACAACATATTATCAAGTAAGTGATTCAAAATCCTCTCAATCCTCTTTTTGTATATGAATTTTGTTTTCACGGATATTAGATAACAATTTTCATTATTAAAACAGTTTTGTAAAGAATATCTATAAAAAACTGGAAATTTCATACATACTTATAAAATACTTTTCAATATTACATAAACTTATTTCCTATTTTATAGTATGCATGAGTTCTTCTTTTATTATGTGCAAATATAAAAAAAAGATATATATAAAATAAGTACTTTAAATAAAGTACTAAGTTTAATAAGTACTAAGTAAAACATTGATAACAAATTACGGCTAGATACATGAAATTGAATATAAATCTTTTTGCTTTCCACATAATGTATTAAATTTAATTTGTTCGTGTTTTTCAGATAGATTCATACGTGTACAGAATGAGACACGTTGTAACGTAAATTATCTTGTTATTTAAAAAGAAATGTTTTTAATAAATTCTGCTTAATTTTGAGAGAGACATTTTATAAACAGGTAATGAAAGAAAATTATTTTCAATGTGAGTATAAGAAATTGTTGCAACAAATAAATTTGTTGTATAGTAAATCTTTTCAAAATATTTTGACTTTCTGAAATAATGGATAGTTAATGATAAATTTATTAGAATGGGATATGGATTTATTAAGATTTAAATTAGGATAGATTTAAATTATTCCAATAGTGTAACTTTTTTCTTGTCCCACCTATATTTTCCATTTAACGTAAGAAAGTTTATCTAATTTTATATATCAAATTAATGTGTCTTGCTCTATATGGGCTTTAATCATAATTTCCTAAACAGATGAATGTTTATTCTTATTCTAAACTTTCACATTAATTATAAATGATTATAAATAATTATTAATAAGTAGGGATGCACCGGATCGTAAAATTACCGGATATTTGAAAAGAATCTAACATTGAATAATTTAAATGAAATTTTTATTTAATTTCAAAAAATAATGTTTAAATCAAATGATATAAAATTTCAACCGGATATATTCCTGGATATTAATGATATCCAACTATCCGGTTAGATAGTAAAAAAAGGATAATATTTGATATCGGATACTTTTCGGATATCCAGTGTATTCCTATTAATAAAATTAATTCTCAAATGATTGAGGAACTAGAATAATTGATTTATTTGTTTAAAAAAAAGATAAAATTTTGATAACTTATGTCAAAAATCATAATTCAATTCAATACGTATCTTATTCTAATTCTGTACAGGAAAATGTTTGCAAGAATTTCTAAAGTAAATTTCTAAAGTAATGTAAGTTTTTTGCTTCCTTAATAAGTGTACATATAAATTAATTTTTTGCGTAAATATTATAATTATAGGCAATTATTTTTCTTTGATTTATAATATTGTTTAAATAAAAACATTAAATTAGATGCTCTCTAACATTTGATACTCTTTGTTCGATATGTTCATTTTTTGATGCAGTAATAATTAAATAGACAAAAAATATGCTGTACGCAGCACAAAGATTATGGTGTCGTTAAAGTTTACATGAGCCATTGAGAATTTTATACATATTGTGCCCTTTCATATCTTTACCATAAATTATGTTTCTACATAATTTATGAGTTGTTACAGATTGTCAGACATCGAGATAAAAAGTATAAATATCTTTGAAGTTGTTGAATCAAATATGAAGTCTATGTACAATGAATTTTCTAGAATTATGACGAACAACAGGATATTGTATATTGTATATTGAACACATGAACATACTAAATTCGCTTGCGCTTGTAAATAGAACGCATAATGTGGAAAGCAAATCAATTCTGCGAGAAGCTCCTAATAGTGTGTAATTTAAAATGTGCTTAACATAATTTTGCATAGTTCATTCAACTGCACATGACATCGCTTCGCCTTAAGTTTAATATGAAGTGTTTGCATTCCAAGTATTTCTTTAACTCTCTGCCTGGTAGACGATAATTCGTCATTTTTGTATAAAATACCTAGAATAATTTTTCTAAGATTTTCTAGCCATGTATAGTGTAAATATAAATTTATACATAGTTAGAAATCTGGATTCTCAAAATGGATTATCATTTATTTCATACAACTCTTTCGACTCTTTCATTACAACCTTTAATTCTCCAGTCAACTCCGTATATGATCGTGATCAAACTCACTGACTACGAGTCGATTGCTTATATGGAACTCATAAAATTTATATATTAAAAGTCAATAAAAAAATGTTATTTACGAATTAAAATTTCATACAGGAATAAATGTTATGTTTCTATACAACAAACATAACGTTTACGTTTGGTACGGAATATACAATAATTGTGTAAATAGAACGTTAAATAAAAAACAATGTAACAGTATTAATTGACAACAGTTGAAAATAATTTTGTTAACTCGATGACAATATTATAAATAAAACAAATAACATTTTATTAAAACAAGAGCATGGTAAATTTCTGTCATTGAATTAACAAGATTATTTTTAATTAAACTGCTATTGGTTAATACTGTTAATATTTCATTTTTTTTCTATCTGAAGGCTATTTAAAATATTGTAGATAATGAATTCAATTTGAGAATATTACAATATATAAAAAGGATTGAGTAAAATTTGAGCACAATGTTGCGGCAGATTAGCATTAACTGTACTCGCATTATGTTATTTTGTTAGTAGATTGTCAACAGAAGCCAGGCAAAATCTATCATTTTCTAAATATTTAATGAATTATATTAATAATTTAATCTATATGAAACGACTGATTCAGCTCGGTGATCAATTTGTTATTACATTCTGTTAACAAATTCTGTTATATTTCTATTAATATTCTTCCGATAAAAATTACAGTAAATATATTTTACAAAGACTGTCTCCGACAGATTTGATTATCTGATTGCCCATATTAGCCTAGATTTCTTTTTTTTTTTTTACGAAGAACATTATCCATCACGTCCTCGCGGGAATATTTCCCACGCGATCGATGCTAACATTTCCAGTAGCGGCGGCATCTCGAATGAGCATCTCAAAAGTTCGATTTGTGCGATTTAACGATCGTTCTTTCGTCCGTGCATTTTTATCTTTTGTCTGTTAGCCTATAGATCAAAAGTTTCATTCCACGCTGCATTGATAGAGAGAATTACCTATATTGTTGCCCCACGTCCATGTAAGTGTGTAGGTATATTATACCTATGGCATTTTGTAGACTCGGCGGGATCGATTGCGGCGGAAGATTCGTCACGTCGCTTCGTGCACTTTCTACACCTACCTGCACTTTTCTTTTTTTCGCTTCTCTCTTCCAAGCCCCGCTCCAACCGAGCTGCTCTTTCGAAAGACGAGGTGAGAGCTGTGCAAGTCTCGCTCAAGTGCAGGTAGTGCAGAAGCAAGTATATATATATATATATGTGTACCGTGTACGTACAAGGCGACATCTCGATGAGCTCGATGCTGCATCCACGCGAAAATGATCTCCACGCTTGCTGTGCATATACGTTGAAAAGCGATTGACGATTGGCGCAAGACGGGTTCTACTGAGTCCTACACGATACGGCGGATTCGATTCTCCGAAACGCTCGCGGCCAACTTCAATTCGATGTTGCAAACGCATTTCCGGCGAACGTTCTCTCGCCTCAGACGTCGGACTTTCGCGATCGATCGAATCGTCGCGCCCATGGGCGTCCTCGGATAATTCTCAGGGGTGGGCAACGCGCGCCGATCGATAAATAACTTAACCCATTGACACACCTATCACGCGGTCCTTTCCGGATTCTCGAGATGAAAGGATGAAGAGGAAGAGAATTGCAATTATTCTTCTGTCGCAATCGCGCGCGAATTCAATTCGTTTTCGAGCGCGTTCGATTTTCGACGCGAATATTCGGGCGGGTTCCCTCGCCGCGAATCGATCGCGAAACTCGACCGATTGACGATGCCACTGCATGCTCTCGCTTCAAAACAACATAAAAGTTAGCATTCTTTCAAAAATCTATACTGTACTATCTCAAAATTATGAATCGATTATACGTGAGATTTTTATCAGAGGATTCTGAAAATCGGTATGATTTCGCCAGATTCAATTTTTTTCATAGATAATAAAAAAATGTTCTTTCACATAGCTAGATTATTAAGAGTACGGTTGTGAATCGTATCCTTTTAAAAATCCTTATACTTTTTTACGAGGTAGTGAAACTTCTTGGCCATTAATTAAAATTTTATATTTATAAAATTATATTAATAAAAATTGTCAGTAAAAAATTATTTTATATAATTAATTCTAGAAATTTTATTTTATTAAATACTTGCATTTAATATATAAAAAAATTATACCTTCCGCTTTTCCGAATCATAATGTTTTTTTTGAAAGTATACATATGATCGGTATTTATAGTTGATATTTATATTTAAAATTGTCTAAGTAAGTACAGTCTTAAGATGTCATGAATCAATTAGAAAGCTGTATTAGTATCTTTAAGATTACTTATAACGATCTTAAAACAAGAATAGACTATGAATACTGGCTACATTTTTTTCTTATAATTCAATTATCTAATATTGAAAATCAGAGAATGCAGCACTGGAGTGACCAAATTATCGACATTACAGTCGTATAAAGATCTCCGAATTGAATGGCAAATCAAAAATCTTTTTACAGAGTTAAAGTAGATGAAAAAATTATAGGAAGTGGTGCAGTGGATTATAATTATACTAAAATCAGAAAAAAAGTTAAAAACTTGTTTAATTTTTTTTTTAATTTTAGTATAAAGTCCACTGCACCACCTCCTAATTTTGTTTAGCTACTTAATCTTGTCAAAAGATTTTTTATTCTGTTCAGTCTATTCAGAGATTTTTATACGATTGTAATGTCGATAATTTGATCACTTTAACATCTCCTTAAATATCATCAAGGATTGCCGAGCAAGAACAAAAAGTTTTTGAAAATTCTTGACCGTGCCTTTCGTAATACTGATTAAATCGATCTCTATGATGGAAACGATCTACACTTTATTCGCGAGAAATCTTAGGAACGTTCTTAGAATATTCAAAGAACATAGGCCGATGTTTATAGCCGAGTCTTATATTTAAGACTGTCTTAAGTACAGTCCTAAGATATCATGAACTAATCAGAGTGCCACATTGATATCTTTAGACATTACTTAAGACTCTTAAAATAAAAATGGATTATGAATACCGTGTGGCCATGTCCTAGTAATGATTTTAGGACGTCCCTTGGAAGTCTGTGCTGTATAGAGAGGCCATTACATATGGAATAAAAAAAAAAGGAAGGAGAAATAGTTCAGATCGTTTTTGGTTTGACATCTATATTTTCACTGAATTTATATTTTGTACAATAATTCCGGGTATTGTTCTACACTTTTCTCAGAACTGAAACAAAGAGGATGGCCGCGATAACGATCGGTATATCGTAGCTGAATATCAGACATAATCCGCCCGGAGGATTATGGAGCTTCTGTTTGCGGCTAGCTTACTCGGTCTCGGAGCATATTGTTGAAGGCTGGTGGTGCACACAGGCACGTAGCATAAACTACGCACGAGCGACGGAGGTCTACAAATATATCATGCGAGCGTTATACGTTATGTGTATACAGTGGACGGACGGCTTGGTTGCTTGAAAGTTGCGATCACCTTAAGAGTTAAATTTGAAAGAAGCGTGCGCTCTCGACAGCGATCAAGCCTCGCATCCTCCCTCTTTTTGTCGGCAGGACCGTACGCGAATTGGGCCCTTTGGATACCCCACAATTAGTTTTTCCTTGTAGGGTTTAGCGATCATAGTAATATTTCTTTCTTAAAGCTGAAACGTAAAAAGTGAAAATTTTTATGATTAATGATAATCCTTGCAGAAATCTAATAGTGGTCAATACTAAAAGGCTAATTATTTATTAAAAGCATTATTATTTCGTACTTTTAATAGTAATTAATTGCTGCTTTTCAGTAATAAATTGGTCAATATTAAATAGATCAGTGTTAAATTTCTGCAAGAGAATAAAAAATTTTTCACGTTTTCGTCCTAGAAAAAAAGTTGCATGATAGCTACCCAGAAGTGTATACATATAAAAATGTTATTTTGTACAATATTTAGTGAAAACTTTGTGTAATATTTATATATATATATATATATTTTTAATATTATTTTATTCATTTTGAGATTATAGCAACATATTATAATATATTTTTAAAAACATAAAAATTGATAATTATATGTATACTTTTACTCATAATCATATTATAATGCGCACTGTAAAATGATATATAGATATTGTAAAATTGTGCTAAATACACAAACTTACTATGTGTGTATGTGTGCGGGATGTGTGTGTGTGTATAACAATGCTGTAATCAACCTATTTTTGTATTACGTTAAAAAATTATATATTAATATTATAATTTATACTTACTATAAATTCAGTTTAAAACATACAATTTGCATAAAAGCAACTCAGGTAAAATTTTTTTCTTTAATAAAATTTAACTATTCTGAACTTTATAATAAAACATTCAAATAATTATAGTAATTATTTTGTAAAATATGAAAACGTAGATTATATTTTTGAATAAAAATATCATAATATTTGTCAAAATCTCAGTATATTACAAAATATAACAAAAAATTTATTAGAACTATTTTTATTAATCTAGAAATTTTATAAAAAGTATAATCAATAAAAACCTCTGAAATCTATCCTTTTTAGTTTTATTTATCAGATTTAAAGAGAAGATATTGAATCTAGAAAAAAAGAGCACACAAAGAATCGATAGATTAAAAGAATTATAAAATGTATTATTTAATATAGGTAATATCTAAAGATTTAATGTTATTAACTCGTAAGTATTGTAATAAACATTTATAGTAATATTTATTAGGAATATTAATTAATATTTGATTTTTTAACGAAACAAATTTTTCTAAAAAATTATTTTAAATTATTATTTTCAATTTGTGCATTTGTGTGTATAAAGAGACTGTTTTGAAAATAAAAGATGTATTTATCATTTTAACGTCCAATCACATAATTTAAGTACAGAATATTGTATTATGCACGGATGAGCAGGGATATCTGACGATTTAGATACTGCCCTGCGACGTGGTGCTCATGCTTTCTACGTATCGCGAACTGCGCAGATACGTCATCGGGCGAGAGCGTCGTTCAGTGGAGCAAACGTAGGACACATGCACAGCTTATACATTCAGCTTGTAAAGTTTTCGCGCTCTTTCCCAGCGATTTCCGTTTTCGACAGTGACACGTGAACTTGTCATGACGACGAAAATGATTCGTCGATCAGACCCGAATGAACATCGGTTTTATGCGTGATTAAGAAGATAATAACAGAAAGAGAGAGAGAGAGAGAGAGAGAGAGAGAGAGAGAGAGAGAGAGAGAACAAGAAAGATAAAGAAAGAAATGTTCTCGTGGACGCGGCTTAAAGACTACCAGGTATGATCAGGAATGGATCAAATCGATTGAGAATCCCTGCACTTATTGCAAGTTTATAATAAAGAATTAAATCATATGTGTTGTATATTTTGTTCGTTTGTGTTCCTATAAATATATTTAGGACAGAGTATATATACTCGTCAGTTCGACTTTTTTATTTTATTCTATAAAAAAAAATTTGAATATTTTGATTTGAAAATTAGCCTTTGATTCTTCCATTCATTTACAAAGATTTCAAAAAAGATACAAAAAAATGTTATTTGTGGAAATACTGATTTTATAAAGCTGTTTTTTTTAACGTAATCATTATTAACTTAATTAATTTTTGCAATTAAGTTAAAATATTTATAAAATGTTATTAACATAATAAATAGACGGAACACTCTCTCTCTTTCTCTCTCTCTCTCTCTCTCTCTCTCTCTCTCTTGTCAAATATTTGAAATTATAGTATATTTGAAATTTTTCCATAAGCAATTCTCTTAATCCTTTGAGGGGCAGTGAAAAGTATACTTCCAATCTTTTTTTTTTTCATTTTTAAAATGTACTCTGTTCACTTTAATGAAATCAATTATGATTTTACATTTTTGATATATTATTACTTACTTTACATGTTCTCGCTCTTTTCCATGGAGATTATATCCGATTGTTCTTTTCTAATCATCTATAAATAAATAAAGTTGGAAAAAAAAGAGTTTTTCTTTAATGAAAGATGTGGTTTCTTGGAAAGTATTTAAAATAAGAGGCTGAAAATTTTATTGAATATTCTTCATATCAAAATATCATCATTCATTCAAAATATAATGTAATACATTTTTTTTTAGAATTTTTTGCACGCTAGATTTTTTTATAAAAAATTATTAGTCTACTGTGTGAAAAAAATTATACTCTGTAACAAGTTTTTTGAAAAAATGCAATTTCGTAGAAGTTAATTTAAATGCTAATATATTTGTCATTTCGAATTTTTGAAATCTGACTTTAGATTTGTAATCAGCGATCCAAAAAACTGTAAGGAATTTCACAGGAATTCATCGGATACAAAAAATATGTCCCTCGAAGGACTAATTAAATCAGTTATCGATCACGCACATAAATGATCAAGTTTCGTCGAAGTCAACTTAAATTACGGTTATTATATTATTATCTAAATCACAAGAAAAGAATATATGTATATAGATATTTAAAAAAAAATACAATCCATGGAGAAAGAGATATATTTTTTTATTACATAAAATGTAGATATTTAATAAAACTTTCTAAAAAATAATTTTTTATTAATATAATTTTATAAATATAAAATAGTTAAAAAGTTTTACAACCTGAAAAAGAATATATGTACTCTTCCTCTCTCTCTTAAGGGTACAGCTGGTAACCCTACTCTAGGTATTACTTTCCGCAGTACGGCCGGGGTACGGCCCTGCGCAGTAATGCGTCTGTCGTCTAGGTTGAGAATCCCTGGAGTGTTTCCAATCCCGAAGGCGATGTCCAGTGCTGCGTTTCGTCGTTGTGGTGGTCGTTTCTGCGCCACTCGTGTGCACCCGGTGACTCGGCGTTCGCGGCGTCACACTTAACATTCGTCTAGGACGCGAACATCTCAACCCGCGCAACTTCGTAGTGAAACTGTTTCGCTCGTGTCGCGCGCGATACCTGTCTCGGATCGCGAATTACGTGCACATAATAATCCTTGACTATAACGTCGTCGACGTCGTGCGTGCGTGCGTGCGTACGTACATACGTTTGTGCGCGCGCTCTCGGCATCGACGAAGTGAGATATCGAGTGTGCGTGTGTGGTGCTCTGTAAAAGAAGGATAGAAAAACGGAAAGGACGAAAGGGAAACAGAGAGAACAGACGCGCATAGAGAATTTTAGCGCGTGATGTGTTTGTGTCCGTGATTCTTGTTAAAGGAAAAAAAAAAAAAAAAAGAAAGGTGCGAAGAGGAAAAAGGAAGAACGTTACATACAGAGAAGGACGGAAATATCCAACATCCGATATAAAGAGCGCGGGAGGAAAAAAGAAAGAGGGAAAGAAAGAAAGAGAGGGAGAGAGAGAGAGAGAAAGGCAGAAGTGGCGGCGCCGCTTCTTTTCGCTTGTCGTTCTCGAGGGAGGGCGGAGGAGAGAGTACCTCCGTCTCTCTCTCTCTTTCTCTCTCTCACCGAGCGTGTGGTTGTGATCCCTCCGCTCCACTCCCCCCCTTCCCCTCCCCTTTTCCTCTCTCTCGTGTCCCCTCGTCGGCCCCGTCCGCGCGGTAGTGGCAGGTAGAGGAGAGGTGACGCGCGAAGCGAGAGACGGAGAGACGAAGTGAGCGCGAGGGCGCATCTCAACGAGGTAGAGGAGGACGAGAGTGACGAGGAAGCGGGAAGCGTCGGCATCGAGACGCCCGGCGACTGACTACCTGCTGACGGTGCCGGTCCGATTAAGCACGCGCGCGCGCGCGCACGAAGTTTGTCACGTTACGTTGCTGCTACTCCTGTGTTATTGCTGTCGCTGGTAGTGTTTGGTGTTGACGTTATTGGCACTAGTGATCGGCGGCTGCTCTGTGTGTGGGGAAAATGGGATATACGGCGAATCGGGCGGTTTAACATAACAGTGTGTGTCGCCTGCTTTGACGGCGGTGGCGACGACGATTGCAACGACGGCGGCGACGACGGCGACGACGGCGGTGACGGTGGTGGTGGTGGCGGCGGCGGCGGTGGCGGCGGCGGTGGCGGTGGCGACGGCGGGGCCCAACGGCGAGAAGCGGTCGGAAAAATGGCGTCCGATAACGAAGCCTCTTGCGCGAGTGACCCAAATTTCGCGGTGATCTGCTCATTTCTCGCCTGCTTCGGCAAGTCCTGCGGCATCATCTATCCGGACATCGCTCGGCTTCAGGAGATGCTCGAGAATACGCAAGAAGGTGGGTCTCTGCTCCAGTCTGTATCTATCCATCTCTCTCTCTTTCTCTCTCTCTCTCTCTCTCTCTTTCTCTCTCTTTCTCTCTCTACACTTGTGTGTACGTGCTCTCGCACGCGCGGGAGGAAGGGAGGGACATAAAAAGAGAGAGAAAAAGAGAGACACGGTCGTGTTGTATATGCGCCACTAGACGGTGAGGGAAAGAGAGATGGAGTGCGCGAGGAGATGCGCGGGAGGAAGCGAGAGGGAACGACAGCGACCCGCCCCCGCGAGAGGCCAGTCGTCTAAGCGCGTACTATTAGTTTCTTTCGTACGTCTCCGCTTCGACTGCGAGGCCTCGTTCGTTCGTTTTGTCTGTTCATCCGTCAATTGATTCGTTCCGGTGGAGGAGGCAGTTTCGCTCTCTCGTTTCCTTCGAGGAGCAAGAACGAACAGGCGGACAGTGGAAACGGGCGGCCGTCACCGCCGCCACCGCCGCCGTCGCCGCCGTCGCCGTCTCCGTCTCCACCGCTACTTTTTGTTTTGGTGTGTGCGAGCGGCTTGGCGCGAGATATCGGTATAGGTAACTTACAGGCCGTCCCTCTTCTACGCGTCCCTCCCTCGCGTTCCGCGCGATTTCGCGCCGACCTGAACGGTCTAATAACACGTTCTCTCCGCGAAGCGTTGCTATTGACAGATACAGCCGAGAGATACGGGGGGGTTTCACGTTGTTGTTCCGCCGCGTGCTGCCACCTTGTCAGCTTGTCGGTTACACGTGATTACGAGTTTACAAGCAACGCGTTTACGCTGCTCCGCTCCGATTTCTGGGGAAACATCATTGATTGATACCAATTTAAGCGCTCCAAAATCCACCGACGATCGTTTCCTTAAGATAAATAGAATACGTAAATAAAATAGTACTCAATTTTTTCTCATATCATTCAGATTTCCATTTATGATTTACGCTTTAGATTCGAATTGTTTATCTATAGCACCCTAAATTTAATTTAAATTTGGAAAAATGTATGTCTGGAGTAATGTTTTTTCCATCATTTTGGTTTTATTTAAATTATTTTATATATTAAGGTATATTATTTTAATAAATATCTTATCGGAGATTTAAATAAATATATATTGGTAAGGCTTTCATACAAATTCATAACTATGTTGGCAATAAAATCTTGTAATTTGGAAGCTAATTGTGTATGTATATATAACATGTGCAGTAAAAAAAGTATATATATGATTATTTCTCTTTAGTTTCTTATAAATTTATATTTTTTTAGTGTCGCAAGAATTAATAGATCTGCACATCAAGTTGTTGCGAAAAACACGTAAATCCGTATCACCAGAAAAGTGGGAAAGGGCGCTAGTCAAGTTTTGCCACACGTACTCTAACCAGGATGGATGGGAACTTGAACGCTTCGGTTACAAGAAAGCTCGCATTGCTGTTAAACTGCGTTTACTTAAAGTATGAATTATATAATTGTATTTTATTTTCTTCTTGTCTGTTTGTAGGATCAAATAGTTAATCTATCTTATATATAATACTAAATACTTTTTGTATTTTAGGTATTATTGGAAACACAATTTGACTTAAATCAAAAGTTTAAGAATGAAGTAAACAAATTGGCAGCTAACGAGTTGCGTGTGGAACCTTTAGGAAGAGATAAAAGTGGATTAGCGTACTGGTGTCAGCTGGATGAAGAGTGCAACATAAGAGTTTATAGAGAAGATTTAGATGAAGAGAATTGGGAATTAGTAGCTCAGTAAGTCTGTCTTATATACTAATTGTAAGTTAAATATTAACAAAAGCTAAACTATTATTTTTATCAATATACTGAAGCTATTATTATTTGTATTGTCACTTATTATTTTTTACATCTATCAATGCATATGTTATTTATAATAGGGATCGAGAAGGTGTTATTAATCTCATAAGTACCTTGTCAAATGGCGAAATTGGAGCTATACCAATTAATGAGGATAGCAACAGTTTGGAAATCTCTGAGAAACCTATAATTGATACTGGACAAGTAACAACGTCTCCAAGCTTAGAAGACGAAGTTGTGCAAGAAAACGGCGTTCACGAAATGAAGCAGCTACCAAATGGTAGAAGTGATGAGTTAGAGGATGAACGAGAACATGATCAAGATCAAGACCAGGATCAAGATCAAGTTCAAAATGCTACCATTAATGAAACTGAAAAAGAAGAAGTTGATGAAGAAGAAGATATTGATGCGGAAGAAGAAGATATGACGAATGATGAAAGTTCCAAGCAGATTACGGAGGAAGACGATTCTCAAGAAATGGTACAAACTCCGAGCACAGAATCAAGGTGTACAAATGATTCATCTTCGTCGGCAACTAATTTAAAGACGCTAAACATGAAAGTGGATGCAAAATTGGAAGATGCGAGCCACAGAGAGGCTACTGACGAAACGTCCGCTTTCTTGGTATCAGAAAGCAAACCTTCAATAATACACAAGCAGACCGGTGTTATAAAAGCTGAAGTTGAAGAACCGGCACCGTTAAAATCTATAGAAACGCCTGTTATTACTTCGTCTCCATTGAAACTAGTAAATATTGCGGAATTGAAGCAGCCGCCAGAAGAAAAGTTAGTAAGTCCGACATCTGTTATCGCGCCCTTAAACGCGATGAAGAAACACGGTCCTTCCGACGAGATAAAGGCCCTCGAGAAATTGTCTAGCAAGAATAGTCTACCTTTTTCGACTACAGATTCCATTTCTGTGGGGCACAGTAAACTATCCGTCAAACCAATCGATCAATTAGCTGCAAATCTTGTAAGGATACAGTCAGAGAAATTGGAGAAGCCAAGCGGGCCGAAATCGCTGGAAAAGATTGCAGAAACTTTAGCAAGGTCTAGTAGTATGTTGGGAAATATGGTAAACGGAGAGGATGATAGGCTGCCACAAGATTTTTGCGCGAGAAATCAATCCGAAAAGTCAGCAACGCACAGAAGTCACAGAGGCATAGACTTGTCAACGTCACCGCGTGGCTGGGAAAACGCAAACGAGCAAAATAGACCGGTGGATTTCTCTGGAATTGATCTTTCTAGTCGAAAATTGGGAAAAACAATGGATTTGCCTTCTCCTGGTTACAGGACGCAAGATTTTCAGCATCGAGAAATGGATCTGAGTACGAAGAAGGTGAACAAACCAGAAATGTCGAATCTGCCATACGATGCGCGTAGCGTAATGTTACGTAATCATGTGATGGTGGCTGATTTGAGCAAGAGACAAATGCCGTTTACCACGTACGAGACGCCGTATCATAATACAGCTAGATTACCTGCCAAGGACGAGCACAGATTACCAAGCTATGCGATACTTTCCGATCCCAGCAAGATCACGACATTGAGGATGAACAATGCACCACTGAAACGTCCTATAGAGGATGATGACATACAGCAAGATATGCTGAAGAGGATAAGGGCGGATGTAATTCCAATCAGGGGCTCTATAGACAAGAGACCGATGATAAGTAGCAACTGGAGAGATGAGGTGAGTGAAGCTATCGAGGAGCCTATAATGATGGTTCAAGGCGAGGGATCTGGCAGCGACTGTGATGCAGTAAATCCCATTGTTGGAGAGGCTATAGAGGAACCGACGACTTTTTTCTACGGCGAGGGTTCCGGCGCGGAGTGCGGGACGGGTAATCCCGGTGACGACACGCCTACTGACAATAAAGAAAGCAACGAATCAAAAACTGAACCTGACTCAGCTACCACGGCGCTGTCGCAGAATAAGGTTTTAACCGAAGACGAGATATCTACGGGTTCGATACTGTCGAACAAAACCCCTGTAAAATTAAATAGAAATTATCCACAGTCTAATGTAAGCGTAAACGATAATTGTCAAATAGTAGATTCTATACAAGAAAAGCCAAAGTTTAAGCACACGTTAGGCGTCCAGATAATACCTAAAAGTACAACCGGTTCTGTCAAAAGGTTGTCCAGGTGGGACGTGGGAAAACCAGAAGAGAAGAAAGAATGTGACAGTAGTATCATATCAAATGAAGGAGACATATCACTGAAGAAAAATACAGATGATCACGAGCGTGATAATGTGGAAGAGAAGCTGTTGAATGTGGATGCTGAATCGGCCAAAACTAGACACGAAAATTCCGCTGATGTGGATCAAGGCGGTAAAATAGATGATCTTGTAAACACAGGTAGTGAAGCCATCGAAGATAGTGTTAAATTACAAGTGCCCGACATAAGTTCCGAAAATATAAGTACGACGAAACAGGAAAGAGACTGTACGCTTCAAGAGCCTGTGCAGTGCGACTCGTCGATATCGTCGTGCCAAGCGGACACTTTGCAAGAACCTGAACCTGAACCATGTACAGATCCTGAACCTACGACTGATGCAGCCATTACACAAAACTTATTTGATTCGAGTAGCGTGGTTTCGCGCGAACCAGATACTCCCGAAATAACGAATAACGAATGCAAACCAGCAGCTGCATCTCCGCCGAGATTTTTTTTTGGTCCCAATTGCATTTCATACACTTCGAAATCCGATGAATTAGGAACTCAGTCGGAACAAAGCCTGACTACATCCATTCACGATAAAACGGATAACACTGTGCAATATGAATGCGTATCTTCGTCGAAGTCAGCGGATGATACTGTTTATTCGTACAAGAAAGATTTTGATTTGACACAAACAAACAATAATTCGTTGAAATCAGATGTGTTTACCTTGGAATCTGACAGCGTTTTATGTGGAAATAATAGCAAAGATATCGAAAAAATTGAAGCGCCAAG